TCACCCATTTCCAACTCTTTTGACTGACCAAATCGTGCTCAAACTGATAGTGGAACACTTCTTCTACACGTATGCATCGGTTGGAACCACCAAAACGCATTGGAAGACGCGTTTCATTAAGGGCAAAGTTGGAAGAAAACCAGTTTTTCTGCAGGCTTCCCAGGCGCCTGGCGCCTCCCATGATGGTTTTTCCGTCTTTTTGCTTCTTTTGATTAATTTGCACTCCCAAATGGTCCTAAAATGTCATAAATACAATATAAGCCAACCACAAACCATAATATATGAATTTTGCATGAATTGGAACTCAAACGATCGAGAAAAATCTGAAACAAAGCTGAAACATTGTAAAAACAGCATCTAAAACCTTCTTTTTACGCATGTAAACAAGCGTAATCAGGAGAGAACCGTCTTTTAGCTCTAGCCCTTCAGAATGAACATCTAGACAGAGGACGTCCATAATATTCTTATCTTGAAGAGAGACGGTAAGACCGGGTTTGCAATTGAAGTATACTGGGCCTTGTACCAGGTTGGATTCAACGATCCCGAGTAGAGAGGGAGTAAATCTGAGATGCCTCCTATCTCTTAGGGCGAGATAAACTGGGACATCTAAGCCTTCTCTGAAGAGAGGTTTCAAAGCAACTTGAACACATCCAATATGGAGCTACTTGAATTTGTTCTCGACCTTGAAGAGGGTTTCTTCAGGGAGAAGGGTGATCTCGGTGAATTCATCCTTCATAGCAACGTTCTCCTCTATGATGACGATAACATCTTGCTGGGAGAAATTGAAGGTATTTATTTTATATACCTGATTTGGATCTATCTTAGGGATAGACCAATTTTTGAGACGGTCTTCAACCTTGGCAAGATGGGCTTCGGCTGAATTATGCTCGACTAAAACCCTTGAAAAATCATCTTCTGATTTTTGTTTGCTCGAAGAAGAAGAGGAAGCTGTATCAATGATCAGTTGAGAGTGGGGAGAGATTTTAGAGAGAAGTTTAGAGAGCATAAGAGAGAGGAAAATAGAGAATTTGGTGATATCAGGGAGATAAAAACAAAATCTCAATAAAAGTATACTCTTTAAATAATAATCTTTCTTTCAATTAAATCAAATTCTTTGATCGATTTTATAATTTTCATTCCCTCCAACTTTAAATTTGTATGTTCACTTTATTTCCACAATAATTTGAAAGTTTTATCTTAATTTTATTAAGAAAATAATTAAGAAATTTTAACCTATATATATTAATAATAAACATAAAAATAGTTAAAAAGATGGGAATGATACAGAAAATGTAAAACATCGAGGAATTATAATACATAAATTAATTTAAAATCTAATAATATATCATAATAATTAATGATTAATTTGATTCATATTTTTTATTTAGGTATAAGCTTTATCATTTTTTATTTTTAACTTATTTTATTAATAATGATTACTTTAATTTTATATTTTTACGATTACACTAATTATAAATTAATAAAATTTATTTAACACTTATGATATTTTATAGATTTATTATTATTTTTAAATAGAAATTTTATCACGTGCATCAGGTGTATTGAATTAGTCATTGTACAAAAAATAATTTTATATTGGTGGAAAATGAAAGAGTTACAAAACGTTGAAATTCCAAAATTTTTTATATTAAAAAATTAAATATAAGGTTATAATTATTCAATTAATTTAAGTTAAAACAAAACTTTTCATATTATATTTTATCATTTAAATTAAATTAATATAATTTAATAATTATTGATAACTAATTATGAGAGACATTTTTCGAATTCAAAATTTTATTGAGAAATAAAATTGCCTAAATGTATATTAGAAAAGATAGTAGATTTTTAATCTATTTTAGATAGTTATAAATTTATAATTATTTTTCAAAAATAAATTTGATTAAGGTAGAAAATTGTCAAATCATATAGCAAAACTGTTGCCAAATAACATAGGTTGGTGTTTCTAAGAAAGAGAAAATTGAGAGAGAAAATGAAAATGAAAAGGGAAAGAAGCAAAAATAATTATGAGTCGAAACGGAAATGGTTTTCAAAGAAACCTCTCTGTTGTTGTTTTTTCAAACCCTAAACTAAACCCTCAATCCTCATTCACACACTCGGAACAAAATCCTAAACCCCGGCCTCACCATCTCTTGGATAACTCCATTTTCACTCGATGATGGTTTCTTCTCTCAATGTCTCTCCAAATTCATTCCGGGTAGCGTTCTCGGCTGCAGCCATAGGTACCGTTTCTCGGACGCCCAGGTCTTTCTCTGTCAGATCAATGTCAGTGTCGCCAGTTCAACATCTTCAAACGTCTGCCTCCTCCTCTCACAAATTGGACCTCTCCGTTATGGTATTCGGCGTTTCATCATCCGTTCTAGGTCATTTTTGGATACCCTTCACCGTCAATCCGACCTACTGATGCTGAACTATCAGCCAATCAATTCAGGATTATGGATTTAGTAATCCCTCCGGTTTTGCATATTGATCCTCTGCTTATTACTTCTTCTATGTGAAAAGGGTTTTCATTTCACTCCTTTGTTTAATTTCTTGAAGATTATATCGCCATTTATAAAAAATGCATCTACGATGGCGCTTATGCGAGTTCATTGCTTGATTATTCGTTTTGGACTTCTTTCTCCTCAGCATCCTAATTGACATATGAAAGAAAGTCAAATTTATAAGACCTCTTACCGTCTTAATGTGCAGACGTCTCTAGCTTTGTTTCTCAAGAGCTTGCCATTTCGTAAATACTATTATAGGCATCATTTTCATTTTTTTAGTGCATTTTCAGTTGCTATCCTATTTTAATTTTTACTGACATTACTTTTGGTTCTCCCCTTATTATCTAGTTGTGCCTGGATTTGCTAGAAGTTTTTGTACCTCTTATCTGGCTTTGATTGCGTGCTTCATTTCTTTCCCGGTGCTTAGGTAAATGGATGCACGGGAAAGATGGGAAAAGCTATTATCAAAGTAGCTGATTCTGCTGGTGTCAATGTTGTTCCGGTGTCATTTGGTTCGTTGGAGGAGTCTGGACTAACTATAGAAGCATCTGGAAAGAATATTCTGGTTCATGGCCCTTCCGATAGGGATAGTGTCCTTGCATCAGTTTTTGATGAATATCCAAATTTGATTGTGGTGGACTTCACTGTGCCTTCTGCTGTGAATGGTAATGACAATGCTTGATATGCAATGATTGTGTTGAAGTTAACAGTTAAGGTTGTCAGTCTTTTAAGTTATTATGAGTTATTGAGCATGTACACCATTTTTTACTTGCTGTATGTTATTTTCCCAGGCATATAAAAAAGTTACTTTCCTTTGACTCTTTTCTTATTATTACCTTTGACGTATAGGACTTGTAGGAATTTTATTGGGATTATTTTAGGTCTATACTTTAGTGCTTTTGTTGGATTTGATGTGATTGTATCACCCATGACTGTTGGAATCTGAAATCCTGGCTACTATTTGTTCGAAAAAACATTGAAAAATAAATAAGACAATACAAGAAAAATCTGTAGAATCTACCTTGAATCCCCCAGCCTTGATACAAAAGGTATCTGCCTGGAATCTTGGATATAGATTAAAAAATTTTCTCATAATTCCGCTATTTGCTCGAAAACTTATACGAGCTGTATTTGAGGAGAAATCAACCCAAGTAATTGTCCTTTTGTTTTAGTGCGAGTTCATTTAGTCACAACAGCCCTTTAGAGCATAAACACAAGCCTTAGTGAGGTTAGGTGCACAACATTCAAAGGACAATCATAATGTAATATATCAATTCTGTCATCCAATCGAAATTTTACAATCATTAGAATTTAAATCAGTTTAAAGAAATGATGATTTTGTTTAAGGCTTGATCAAGTTCACAAAACAGAGGGTGAGAGAGATTGAGATAGGGAGAAAGAAAGAAAGAAAGATAGATAGCAAGAGATATGGAGAGTAAGAGGAGTGGGAGATGGAAAGATACATAAATAGGAGCAAGGTAGCAAGGGGGGAGATATAGAGTGTGTGCGTGGATGGACAACATAGATAAGAGAAGAGAAGAGAAGAGAAGAGAAGTAGAGCATCTGTGAGTGGGCAATGCAGATATAGATGAGAGAGGAGGAGTAAAGTTAGTTCATAGGTGAAGGTGAACCAACTTTGTTTTTCTCCCATGAGAGAGAGATGGAAGTTAAAGGTTGAAAATTTCTACCCTGGTTTATTAAAAATAATAAAGACATAAGCCTCACAACTTACAAATGGCCACCTCTGTGCACACCTGCACGAGAGTGCATCACTTTATTCGTGTCTCAATGCATGTTTTACAATAATTTAACTCAGCTACTTATCAATTAGATCTTGATCTAAACAAGAACATAGAAATCTAATTAGGATTAGAATTTCAACATGACTAGAACCCATAGTAGAACTAAAACTAGCTTTAAAATTAAACTCCACAGTAAACTAGTAAATAATAAACAAAATCAACTAGGATTAGAGTTTCTGAAAAATTCATTTCTTTTATCCTATTGAAGAAAAAAGAAGAATTCATCTTTTTGTACATTTTCTTGTTAGGCTATGTTTATGTAGCCATCCTTTGATTGCTTTGAACATTAATGAATTAGAGTAATTTATAGATTTTTCTATTATTTTGGAGCTTTCTACTTGTTTGGCCATGGATTCGGTTTAATCACAAAAATCTGCTGCATCAGTGAGGTCTACCCAATTGAGACGTAGAATCTTTTACTGTTTATGAATGACTTCTTTTGATCTTTTTAGTGTCAAAGGTTGTAAACTTTTTTTGACATCTTGTGTCCTGGCATTTGTCATGTCATGTCAATGTTATTCTTTCATATTTGAGCGACATATTTGAGATTTGTTGTATAGTTTGTCTCTACATTTTCTCTTGCAGATAATGCAGAGCTGTACAGCAAAGTTGGAGTTCCCTTTGTGATGGGAACAACTGGTGGAGATAGAGACCGGTTGTATAAAACTGTGGATGACGCCAAGGTTTATGCAGTAATCTCCCCACAAATGGGCAAGCAGGTAATTAGATGCTATGATGTACTTGATCCTTAGTTAATTGTAGATTCTGGAACCTCCTCTTTCATTTTCTAATTGTATTTTGGTGTGGATAGGTCGTTGCCTTCCTTGCAGCTATGGAAATAATGGCTGAGCAGTTTCCTGGGGCATTCTCCGGATATTCCCTGGAGGTAACTGTCTCTTGCATTTTCTCTTACTTCCACTTTACCAGGGTAGTGTCAGGATCTCCGGT